GATCACTACTATAGTGCTATCTAGTATCCGCTAAGAAGGCTAGATATTCCCTAAGACATCTACATTAGCAAGTCCCCACACTCCCATATAGCTCTTCCTCATTATGGATTAAATAAAAATCAAAGTGAAACAAAACGTGGTCAATTAGTTCCGACGCGCATTTCGGTGCTATAGTGGAACGTTCATCAGGGGAGGAGGTGCCACTATAGCACCGAAACGCGCGTCGGGAATTTTTTTCACATAGCACTATGCACTGATTGATCACGTTTTTTTTGTTTCACTTTTGATTTTTTGAGTTTTGCTCACAGCCAATGAATGCAACTCTATGCATATGAATACAAATAATTAAGATTAGCCACCATGAACTCTTGTTCCATGCTGTCTAATGACACTGCAATGATGCTGCCAGAGGTGGAGGTACACCTCTGGCAGCAATGGGGTTAAAATCTCTATATACCGCATTTCAAAGCAAAACTACACAGGCAGAGTCTAGGCACCATGACCACATCAAATCACTAAAGAGGTCATGGTGCTTGGAGTAACCATTTAAGGTCAAAGTAGCTGAACCGGAAGCATAGCTGATTTAGAGAATGTTGAATGTTTCCAGTTTGGCTATTTAATTACCTTGAATTTGAAATTCACTTTGAATTCTCACTTTAGTAAATAACTAGTTTTTGAATTGTATTCCAGGAGTGGAGTCGAATGCGCATGCACAGCCAGAGCCGCGCGCGCATTAAAAACACCCATAGGAAAGCATTACTCAATGCTTTCCTATGGACGTCAGCGTCTTCTCACTGTGATTTTCACAGTGAGAATTGCGGAAGCAGCCTCTAGTGGCTGTCAGGGAGACAACCACTAGAGGCTGGATTAACCTTCAGTGTAAACATAGCAGTTTCTTTGAAACTGCTATGTTTTCAGCTGCAGGGTTAAAACTAGAGGTACCTGGCACCCAGACCACTTCATTGAGCTGAAGTGGTCTGGGTGCCTATAGTGGTCCTTTAAAATAAGTCTCCCTCATCTTCTACCTTGGCTGATTTAGATTTCAATCATTGTCCAGAATTAAGCCTCAATTTAATATTGTTAGATATGTTTTCCAAATGATTTAATATTTTGGATACACTTTTCAAATGTTTTAATATTATGACAATTTTAAAAAAAATTTAATATTTCAATCTTATTTTATATATATTTTTATATAAGGTGTATGTTTTGGTATTTGTATATGTTGAGAAAAAAATAGTTTATTAAAAAATATTAACTCAATTGAAAAGCTTATCCAACAATATTAAATTGTAGCCTTAATCCTCCATACAACCATTGTAACTGTTGACATTTTACTATTGTTAAAAAAAAAACTAACAAAATGAATTGAAATAATATGAATAGATTGTTTATTTCTTTTCATTGTATCTTTTGTTGCTTCACAGGTGCGTGACAGCAGCCGTGAGCCATGTGGGTCTCTCTCCTTCCTGCGGAAGGCTATGAAATATGAACCATCGCAACAAGTGCTCTGTCACTTAAATGTCACTATGCCACAATACACACAGGTGACCTAACTATTTAACATGCTACTCTGTATGGGAATGTGTGTGTATAAACAAGAAAGGTGTGTGTGTATTTTAATTGTGTGACTGTGCAACACTGCAATGTTCAAGTGCTGTTTGAGATATTTTATCATTATAAAGTGGTTGGACTTTTTCTTTTTTTTATGTGTAACCAACCAACACTTGTATTATGTACACACATGCCAACTCTCCCTCTTTTGGAGAGAATCGCCCTATCACTGCCCAAAATTTCCCTCTTTCTTGCAGAGTCCATACGTCAACAGATCAGCCTCATCCCGCCCATGTCTAAGGCTGCCTGGCAGGTCTAGCTGAATTCCAGAAGCCAAAATAAGACCTGCCTGTAGCAGGGGGGATCCAGGGAGGCAGGGTGTGCTGTAGCCAATAAGAAGTTTGCAGTACTTACTATTTATGTCTATTTAGGTACAACATTAAAGGGAGGTGTTATCACCTTAATGTGGTTGGGGTGAAATCTCTCTAGTTTAACTGAGGAATTTGTTGGCATGTATGTATGTATGTGTGTCCTGTGATTCTGAGTTTGTATAACATGGTTTTGTTGGGATTGTGTTATTGCATAATACAATATTGTGAAATCATTTATCAGCACAAACATTGCAACAGGGCGTTGTTATGTGTGAATCTGTGGCTTGCAACACAAGTTCATGTTGTCTAATGTAAAAACAATGTTAATTTATGCAGTTGTATTTCATTTCCATCATTGTGCTGCATTGTGGTTTATTGGTTTTATACTGGGTCACTTTGTTGTTGTCTTGCTACGCTGTATTATTGTGTGCTACTTGTCCCTTGTGTTGTCATGTTGTTATTGGTGTATGTGCCGACATGTTGTGTACTTGTCTTCAGTTGCGTATTCCACTTTTATTTAAAACCTATTTTGTCATCTTGCATGACTGTGTGAAGCTTAGCATAATGTGCTATCAAGTTGTGTGGTTGTGTAAAACAGTTGTGTTGTCACAGGGCCCAGGCAGTCTGGACAGAAGAAGGACGCTGACCCCACTTGCTCTAAGAGAGCGGTACAGCCTGCTGAATGACAGTACGAGGGGTGAGAGCAAGGGGAGACGGGCAGTGTAGTTGGAAAATTGAAGAGAGCAGAGAAGTCTTTTGAGTTACTTATTGTGAATGCATAAAAGGGTTGGAGATGCAAAGAGGGTAGATGCAGTGAGAAATGAAATGAAGATAAAGAGCTAGATGGTACTCAGAGAATTAAATGCATTGAACTGGGGTAAAAGAAAAAAAAAAGGATGCACTACAAACATTTAAGCAGAGATAGAAGCCTCCAAAACAAGAAGCCGGGTCCAAGTACGGAAAACACATCCTCCTTAAGAGGTGAGCCCTGGGGAGGACAGAGAGAAACTACTGGGACAGTGCACAGACAGCTGGGTTGAGCTCTGGAAGGTGGGGAACTGATTAAATTTCATGTCTGATCACCCCTCTCTCACTCTGTCCCTAACATCCCTGCTCTCGCTGTATACCATGCTGCATTTGAACACGCCAATATTCTATCCTATCAATTTTGTTCTTATATTCTCGTATCTTTAACACCCTGTCATACCCTCCAATGTCCATGGTTAGAATCTTTTATCGTCTTTCTTCCTCCTCAATCTACATCCAAATCTACAACTTCTCCTTCTCTACTCTGCATCTGCACCCACAATTACCCACCTCAAATTCTCATCTCTCATAACAATGTTCTTTCCTTTCTTGAAATCCCTTTTGTCTCCTGACTACACTTTTATGTACCTAATCGCAATTTGCATCTTAATTTCTCTTCATCCCCTTAGTCTCTGCTAACATTCATGTCCTGCCCCTGGAATATATTTTCCAAACAAATAAATAATCTCTCCCTACTCTTAGTCTGCATTGCCTGCTCCTCATTGAATCCTTTTTTTATCTTTCTGTATTTCTCTCCTCTCTTTTCCTTCCTTTCTTCTCTATCAATCGCATGTCCCTTTTCGTTCTAGGCTCCTTCAGTGGCACAGAACGCATTGAGATGAAGATGGCTGTTATTTCAGAGCATCTTGGTCTGAGCTGGGCCGGTAAGCTTAACTTCTCAACCTTCATCACACACATGTTCTGGGCACATGCCTTTCAGGAAGCAATAGTAAGAGTGGGTGGTTTATAGACGGCAAGAATAAAATTGTTGCTACTAGAAAAATTAAACCAAAGTTCTAAAAGCTCTTCTGGGTTCCACAATAATTGACTGGTATCAATTCTTATTATGCACATCAGCTATACAGGTGTATCATCATTACTGCTCCTTTACATTACTGGAATACATTTGTAAGGGCACATTTGGGCCTGGGGGATCCACATAAGTCTCATATGTAGTCCCCTAAGTTATTGTGTACATTGAAGGTGTTGTTGCCTTGTACTCATCACTCCCAATAAGGCACCTCTTTGTTGAGAATGATAGAAATTACTCTACTACATCTTAGAAGGCAGTGTAGCTTCTAATTAATATAATAAGTCCACAATCTATCTTCAGACACAACAATAAGAGCTGATGAATTACAAAAATGCACAAAAAGATATTATCATGTGTCTTATACAAGTTAGTATTTCTGAGGCTATTTAATGCTCTTAAGGTGTTTTGGTGGTAATCCAGGTTTCCCAAATTCTATGAAAGACACAAGAGAGAAGAAGGGGTCTCTCTGTGCTCTGCACAGACATGCAAAGTGTTTGCAGGGCAGCCATATGATGTCATCGATCTGTCTGAGGCAGCTATACTTGGCATATCACAGGTTCCCTCAGTGATTTAGAGCAGCTGATAGTTATACTGGACTCTATGTGTGTGTGTGTGTGTGTGTGTATGTGTATATATATCTATATCTATCTATCTCTCTCTCTCTTTTAACCTAGGCACTCACCCATTCCAATAACTTCAGTATTTACTATATATATATATATATATATATATATATATATATATATTCAAAGCCTTAAAGGTGCACTCACAGGTCTTTTTTCAAAGTGATTCTTTTATTCTTAGTACATACAAAATATGTCTGTCCCGATCGACGTTTCGACCCATGTAGGGTCTTTTTCAAGATCCAAGGTATCCTGATGAAAGTCTGGATGAGGGCTGAAACATTGATGATACTGTAAATTTACTTGAACATCGTTAAATAAAGTTTGCAAATTAAGAAGACCAGTGAGTGCCTTTCTTCGAGTGTATGTATTGCTAAAAGGCTGGAGCACCTTGGCAAGTAAAACTTAAGAGCGAGTGCAGGACCGTGCTTTTTTGTTATATATATATATATATATATATATATATATATACACACACACACACACACAGTTGTGCTCAAAGGTTTGCATACCCTTAGTTCTTAATACTGTGTATTGCCCCCTTTAGCATCAATGACAGCGTGCAGTCTTTTGTAATAGTTGTCTATGAGGCCCATAATTCTTGCAGGTGGTAAAGCTGCCCATTCGTCTTGGCAAAATTCCTCCAGGTCATGCAAAGTCTTTGGTTGTCTTGCATGAATTGCATTTTTGAGTTCTCACCAGAGTTGCTCGATGATATTAAGGTCAGGACACTGATGGCCACTCCAGAATCTTCACCTTTTTCTGCCGTAACCACTGGAGGATCATCTTGGCCTTGTGCTTAGGGTCATTGTCATGCTGTAAAGTCCAAGAGCATCCCATGTGCAGAAGAATGCAAATTGTCTGCAGCATGTTGTCAGAAAATACTGGCATTCATCTTGCCATCAATTTTCACAAGATTCCCCATGTCTTTAGCGCTCACACCCCCTAAAACATCATTGAACCACCACTATGCTTCACAGTGGGGATGGTATTCTTTTCACTTGCCTTGTTGACCCCTCTCCAAACATAGGTTGTGACCATAGAGCTCTATTTTGGTCTCGTCACGCCAGATTACAGTGTGCCAGACGACGTGAGATGTCAGGGTGTTGTCAGGCACATTGTAACCGGGCTTTCTTGTGGCATTGGTGCAGTAAAGGCTTCTTTCTGGCAACTCGACCATGCAGCTAATTTTTGTTCAGGTATCTTCGCATTGTGCTCCTTGAAACAACCACACCGTCTTTTACCAGAGCAGCCTGTATTTTTCCGGAGGTTACCTGTTGGGTTTTCTTTGTATCCCGAACAATTCTTCATTCAGTTGTGGCTGAAATGTTTCTTAATCTACCTGACCTTGGCTTGGTATCAAGAGATCCCTGAATTTTCCACTTCTTAATAAGTGATTAAACAGTACTGACTGGCATTTTCAAGACTTTTATATCCTTTTCCATCTTTATAAAGTTCCATTACCTTGTTACGCATGTCTTTTGACAGTTCTTTTCTGCTCCCTGTGGTTCAGTCTAGCCTGCTCAGTGCATCCACGTAAGAGCTAAGAAACTCACTGACTATTTATACTGTGGGGATATTTATGGGATAATAATAGTAAACAGTGAGAATTGCCCACTAATTCAATTCTCAGATCCCAAAGGTCGTTATCGTGTTAGGTGGAATGTATTTCATATAAATAATATCACAATTTTATAAAAATAGATTTTATTTTATAATAACAAATTAATTAATAATAATATGTAACATGCGTGACAATAATCAATTAGTATCCAGTATAAAATGGTATGCAATACAAAGGAATGGCTATACACGTTTCAATGGCTAAACAGCATTTTCTGTCAAGACTTTTGACGATTTATGACTATCTTTCACAGAGAGGAAGCGAAACTTTTCACAGCGAAGGGCCATAAAACCCTGGCTAACAGTTAGAATAACCCTTTCAATGCTGGCTAGATCTCCTAGGTAATTAAGATCTCTTCTTATGTCATTTTAAATAAAATAACATTTAAACCAGTTCATTAGTCATTTCCTGGAACCATCCAATAAGAGAATCTACCATGTTATATAAGCAGAATTTAATTTGTCTAAAAGATATCTTATCTTATATTAGAACAAATCAATACACCTGGATAAAAACAGCGATATGCTAACACGTGACAATATCACATCAATATATAATTATTCTTAATTCCACCTGCAGAATGGAATGTTTATAACTATATATTCTTTAGTTAACTAAGATTTCTAAATATGTAAATCTGACCGTGATTTATCCAGTCATATATCACGCTATAGTAAATTTTAATTAATTTAAATTAATTAAATGAAACCAGTATAATTACCAGTTGAGTAGATATTTCATCCGATTGGTAGATAGTCTCAGGAACTTATTTGGATGTCTGTAGGTGCATGAGTTATGGTGAAAGGTGGTGTTGGTTAGAAAGTCAGTAAAATTCTAAGTGTTAGAGTTTTAAGAGTAGAGTGTTAGTCTCAGATGTTGTCCTGGGTTTCTCTGCATGTCCGAGTTGCAGTCCCCAAACTTCCAATTCCTCTCTCCTCCTTTTCCTAACTTTTAAAGGGCCAGACTCTCTGTACGTCATCAGTTGATCACCCAATAGAAGCACTAGAGGTGTGGTTATCTAGGGATTGCAATTTAGGTATTTAGTCTATAGAGGGCAGTCTTGTCCCACTAAACATACCTATCCAGGAAAGAGTTAACTTTTCCTGGTGGCTATTTTGATGTCATTTTGCGTTATCTTTATCTTTGCTATAACTTAGATTTGCTGTCACTTCAAACAGTTTCTTTAAGTTTTGTCCAGACTATGTGTCTGGCAAATTCTGAGTTTTGACCCTTAACTTACAATGGGACCTTGTACATATAGAAAGTAAAATTTTATTATTTAATCTTCTCTGTCACAAATGTCTGGGTTTAGATTTGATTATATTCCATTAACATTTTAGACAGTCTGTCCAACCCCCGTTCTCCTTATCACTTGGTTTGTTTATACTATGCATTCCTTTAGCTCTGGCAAAGTGGTTAGTTTTACAGAAAGGATAGAAATTTCGTGTCTCTTTGTTAACTTGAAAATAACAAAATGGAGTCTGGTCTGTTCAGAGTGACTCAGAATATACACTTTTAATTTCTATCATAGCACAAGATGTCTGCCGATATAAATACCCTGACAATACACATACACTAACTGCAATTTAAAAAGCCACAGATGTGGGAAATAAACTTTTAACCCCTTAAGGACACACAACGGAAATATTCCATCATGATTTCCTTTTATTTCAGAAGTTGTGTCGTTAAGGGGTTAATTGCCATTTTAACTTGTGTGTCTGTAACAAGGCCAAACATTCAAGAGTAAACATTTGATCAGGGGCAGTTGGGTGATTTGTTATCATTATTGTCACAAACACACCCTACTTCAAGAGTGTGTATGATGTAGTTGCGGTGGTGAAAGGGTTAAAGTTCAGCTATTTGTCTGCACTAGACTGGAAAAAATGATAAAATCCCCCTTGACACCACCCACACTTAAGCATAATAATACAAAAATTACCATCTTAACGCTGCCACCACCAAGACCATTTATAAATTTGTCTTGGTCCCCAAGGTAACTTAATAAGAAAAACTCACCAAATATAACAACACAATATTTAAGCAATTGCAAAACACTAATTAGTCTTTTCAGGTAACATGATTCTTTACCAGAAAACAGCTGAACTTAATAAAGGAATATTTTATTATGAGCAAAAAATAGTCACAGTGCATACAAACATAAAGATGACAATCAAATTAGTTACACCAACAACAGATAAAACCATAAGGGATAAAATAACAGAAGTCATGATCACTTACTCAGGTTTTCAAAGTAAAACTTCTGCCCCAGGGGATCTCTGGTAATTATCCCTTCTGTCATCTGACCTGGCAACCAAGTGGCCAATTCATATATGCACTACACAAATTACATTAAATGGCAATATTCTTTTGTGCTACAATGAATTATTCACCGTTGGCATGACAATTATGATTTAACACAACTACGTGATGATAAATAGCTTCATGTATTCACTATCCTTCAATAAGTCCATCCCTGCAAGCACGCTTCTTGGCGTCATACTTGACTCTGGTCTCACCTTTGAGTCTCACATCTAGTTTGTTGCCAAGTCCTGTAGGTTCCAACTCAAAAACATAGTCCGCATCCGCCCCTTTCTTATGCAAGATGCTACCAAGGAGCTTGTCCATGCTCTAGTAATTTCCCGCATGGATTACTGTAACCCTCTCCTGATTGGTCTTCCCAAAAGCCGTATTGCCCCGCTACAGTCTGTAATGAATGCTGCAGCTAGACTGATTTTCCTCTCTAGTCGGTCCTCTCACACCTCACCCCTCTGCCAGTCCTTACATTGGCTCCCTGTATGCTATAGGGGTCAATTCAAAGTGCTAACCCATACATTTAAAGCACTGAACAATTCTAGCCCCTCTTATATCTCTTCACTAATCCATAGATATGCCCCTCCTCGTACCCTCCGCTCTGCCCGTGACCACCTCCTGACCGCTGCTCGCACCCGTACGGCCAACTCGCGCTTGCAGGACCTCTCGCGGGCGGCTCCTCTCCTATGGAATAGCTTGCCTACTGCCATCAGACTCTCCCCTAGTCTTCAATCATTTAAGAAGGGCCTTAAAACCCATCTCTTCAGGAAAGCTTATGGCCTCCCAGAGTAATCTCTACCTTACATACCTGTCTCCTGCTCTCTCCTATGGGACAGTGCTTTGCTCTCTCCTCCAGCTCTGCTTCACTCCTACTTGATATTTCCTGTCCTAATGTTTCTAATACCCCACCTCCTATAGTCTGTAAGCTCGTTTGAGCAGGGTCCTCTTCAACCTATTGTTCCTGTAAGTTTTCTTGTAATAGTCCTATTTATTGTTACATCCCCCCTCTCAAAATATTGTAAAGCGCTACGGAATCTGTTGGCGCTATATAAATGGCAATAATAATAATAAAATATATTTTTTTGCATGATCAGTCATATTTTCAAAAACAATCCAACATTTCACAATTTCTGCCAGAGTATGCAAACTTTTGAGCACAACTGTGTGTGTGTGTGTGTGTGTATATATATATATATATATTTGTGTTTGGGGCATTCTCATATGATATAGAATAAGATTGGTTGTAGAGATGTAGCTTTAGGAATAATTGGTTGAGGTGTGCCGAAACTGACGTATGCTGTAGGCCGGTAAAAAGTGGGCAAAAAGACATATTAATGCAAAACATTATACAGGATGATAGTGCATTTGTTTACCATCAGGTAGACATTTTAATGAAAGCTTCCTAATTCCTGAATCGGCTGTGGTATGTAAGTCGCATAAGCCTATGATTCCCAGCGGCCTCGTGTCTTAACGTGTGCGGGGTTGTCTTGGCTATAGGCCGTGGAGGCTGCTCCAATCCTAAAGGAGTGCCCTGAGTAGTCGCTAGGGTTTAGTTCGAGCCCGGTGAGTGAGTAGGTGGACATAGTGCATGAACTTACCTGTGGTAAGGACAGTATCGTACAGCGACCGTAATGGTTCAGTGGTGCATATGGTGGCGTGCCCAAGAACGTAACCAGTACCTTAACCGGGCACCCAGCATTGCTTGTAAGGTAGTAGGTTATATGCACTGGCTCGCCCATCTGACTCGTCTTAGTTTTAGGAAGGGACCGGACATAGTGGTCTGTGTGTTTTAGAAGATAAGAGGTCAACAGGCACTCTTGTTTATGATGTTGGCCGCTGATAGTGAGTTTTTTTTTTTTTTGCCTTAGAAAGCCATTAAAGGCTAGATAGGTAGCAGTTTTAATAACTACATTGGTGCCTGGCTCAGAAGGTGCATGGTCGAGTGGTTCTGACATGGTTTGAACATTGTATGTCTATGGCCAGTATTTAGTTTTAGCGGGAACGTCCGCTTGGCTATGTCTTTAAGTGAGGTATGGATGGGGTAGGAGGATAGGAACCCTTGTTGTTTGGGAAGGAGAAATACGTATAGTGTTGAATGCCTGTGATATAAGTTTAACCGTGTAGTGCGAGAATTTTTAACTTAAGGTGGCAAAAAACCATAAGTGGTGAAACCTCAAACCAGCTATCTAAGTGATGGTCCGACATGAAACGTATTGTATAAGTGGAAAACCCTGCAGCAAGCGTGTTGAGTGCTGGTGGACAAGGCCAGTTTAGTCAGAGCCTGGCTATGTTGGCGAGGTTCATGTAATCCATGACCTTGACCATAAATGACCCTCCTACCATGGCGGCTGTCACGGCAGCTGCCACAATAGTTTACCATTACGTTTGGTTAAGAAAGTCCACCATATGTGTAGGTCTGCCGTGGCTTGGTTGTCTAGGGACAGCCCCTTATCATCATGCGGGAGTGTGGAAAAAGCAAAGTGGTCTTAGATGAAAGCGCGGCTTGCGGTATGATGCGCATGGCAACATTTAAGTAACCTGGTAGGGATTGTAGTTCCATGCGGCTGCAAGTACCAAGCAGGAGGTGGTAATTGATGTTGTTGCGACTGTTCCTATTTCTCACGTGGTAACTTGTTGGCATGGATGCCGAGTCAAGTTGTATGCCCAGAAATGTAACGATAGTGTCTGGGTCGTCTGTGACCTTAGGGAATACTGGGACACCCAAGTGTTCAGACATACTAATGGCTTCCTTGAAGCTTCTAGAGGGAAAGGCGTTCCCTTTGACCAACAAGAAATCATCTCGGGAATGTATGACTGTGGGGCATCTGGATATGTTTAACCACAACCAGCAAAACGCTCAACGAATATATTGAAGATTGTGGGCTGCTCTTGACCCGAAAGTTAAGCAGGAGGAGAAATATATAACTGCTGCCCATAAATGTCCTGTAAGTGCCAGTGTTTGTGATATCAGTTTTACTTAACCAGGCTTCCCCCCCTGCTTGAGTGATAGCTGTAATGGTATGAACAATGGTGGCATACTGTAATGAAAACTCCTCGGAGGGTATGAGGGAGTTGAGACTTGGGGTAGCCGAGGCATGAGGTACAGATAAGTCTATGATCAGTTACAGTGTGAGGGAAGATTCCCTGTGACAATCCCAATGGGATTGCGGCACGGTGTAAATGGTGTAGATCGGAGAGGCCCAGGTAGAAATCTTTCTGCCATTTCTTGGGCCTTGAGTGTAATGCCAGCTGTTGGATGCTGCTATGATGACTGCAAGTTGGGGCATTCTAGATTCCCCCAAAAGTATATGGCAATACCTGTACGGAAGGCCTTTAAAATTCGGAGATTAGGAAATCAACTAAATGTCTGGAAGGGTGATGAGTTAGAAAGTACTGGAAATGCATAATGTTTACAGACGTGAAGTAAGGTTCAGGGTACATTTATTGGGACACATGGTTTTTGCATGTGCCCTGACATATTGAGAACATATCTGCAACAGTCTGCATGCACTGAAACTACATGTGCCAACATGGAAATTGTTGCCAATCTGGGATTTGCCAAAGAGAATGAGACAACCCAATTTGTCTCTGGTAGTTCTCTGGTGCCTGAAACGTGATCGTCCGCTGTGTTGGGACAAAATTGTCATGTGGGACTAGCAATATCTTCTCCAAGTGAAAGTGTGTTGACTCTAGCTGGAGTGTTAGGTAGAGAGAAATCCTTACCACCTGCTTGATACATACTAAAAAACATGAAGAAGCCATTATTATATGAACCCACAGTGTGCTAGTACTGGCTTGCTAGCTAAAGCCACATGGCGAAACAATCCTTTGTTTGGTGACAGGTGAGGCCCTGCTAGTTGCCAAGTGGCTTGAGAGGCTCTATCTATGCAATGGCGCGAGGGGATTTTTGTGGCCACCAAACGTAGTGGCAGGATGTTGGCCTCTTGGTGAGAAACTGCTATGTTTACAATAGGGCTAATCCAGCCTCTAGTGGCTGTCTCATTGAGAAATGCTTTCCTATGGACTGATTGAATGCGCGCACAGTTCTTGCCGCGCATGCGCATTCGGTGGATGACATCGGAAAAGGGAGGAGAGTCCACAGCACAGAGGGAGCCCGGCACTGGAGAAAGGTAAGCGTTTAACCCCTTCCTCCCACTTCAGCCCAGCGGGAGTGGGACCCTGAGGGGGGGGGGGGCGCCCAAATACCCTATAGTGCCAGGAAAATCACTAAAGTGGTCCTTTAAGCTCTGAACATATGGAAAATGTAGCCTGAAATAGAACATTTGGGAAACGCACCAAATGTAGAACCTGTTTAAAACTTCAAGTCACAGGTTCTATCTCCAATACGGTCCACTGGGACTTTCATCCTATAATAACTCTGATGGATAATTGAATATAACCGAAATGCCAATGTATCCATGAACAGTTTTTTCTATTATAAATAATTTTATTATAAATGTTTCCTCTTGTGCACATGTAGCTAGACAAATAATCAGGATTATTCACTAATGTGAGAATTCAAATTTAAGGCCAAAAAACTATGAAAGCATAGTTCACTTAGAGAGTGTTTCCAGTTAAGCTATTTTGACCTTAAATTTGAAATTCACTTTGAAATTTACTTTGAATCCTCAATTTTTTAGTGGATAATCCTGTGTGTTTTCTGGCATAGTAGAAATAACAATTTAGAAACAAAATTATATGGATATTTATTTGTCCGTTGTACTTTATTTCATAAACAAGAGAGAGTCTTATAATAGCCAAATTATATTTATTATCAGCCTCGGATATGGAACAATAGCTTTTCTTAATTGGGACAGGGTCATAAGGGAAACATTTTGAATAATATTAATAATCATTCTAAGTACAATAATCGGTTGCATTATTGCCTAATATGGAATGCATAGAGTACCCTACTGTTTGTAAAAATCAAAACATCATTGCTGCTATACTGCTTATGAATTTTGTCTAACTTTGACCTTGATTTAATGAGCTCTGAAAATTCTTTTGTAGCTCTGAAAATGATTCAATACTTTCCAAATTATTTATCTACAGAAGTCCCCATTAAAGTCTATAGGATTTTTTGTTAATACATAATTTGGACAGCTTTCCTAACAATATTAAATTATTTGGAAATCTTATTAAATTGAGGCATTTGTGTGTGGACATCACACATAGAGAGTTCCATGCAGTGCAAGCATGCATGAATGGAAGGTGGCACTTCCTATAGCTTCACACAGCCTAAACTGGTTATCCCAAACACTGCTGAGGTTTGTGTCAGAACTCATAGGGCAGAATGAGAAGCTACTCAATGGTTTAGTCCAGTGATGGCGAACCTTTTTGAGCCCGAGTGCCCAAACCGCAATACATGCCAACATTTTTTCTCCTTAAAGTGCCAACACGGCAATTAAACCCAAATACTGAGGTTTAAGTTTAGAAAAAAACAACTCGTACTGTTGTCCGAACTAATAACTTTTGTTTTAAAAGAACACAGAGAGTTCAATGATACAAATTTTAAATAATGATATAAATAGATAAAATTAAGCTTATATTTATTAGTATCTCCAACAAATGCAATACATACACACACAGTCTGCTGAATACACACACACAAGACTGCTGAATACACACACACAAGACTGCTGAATACAGAGACTGCTGAGTACACACACACACACAGACTGCTGAGTACACACACACACACACACACAGACTGCTGAGTACACACACATACTGCTGAGTACACACACAGACTGCTGAGTACACACACAGACTGCTGAGTACACACACACAGACTTCTGAGTACACACACACAGACTTCTGAGTACACACACACAGACTGCTGAGTACACACACACAGACTGCTGAGTACACACACACAGACTACTGAGTACACACACAGACTGCTGAATACACACACACACACACTGCTGAATACACACACACAGACTGCTGAGTACACACACACAGACTGCTGAGTACACACACACAGACTACTGAGTACACACACAGACTGCTGAATACACACACACACACACACACACTGCTGAATACACACACACAGACTGCTGAGTACACACACACAGACTGCTGAGTACACACAGTCCGCTGAATACACGCAAACACACACAGACTGCTGAATACACGCACACACACACAAACTGCTGAATACACGCACACTGCATTGAGGTGGGGGGTGCGTGTGTGTGTGAGTGTTGTATGTGAGGGGTGCTGTGTGTGTGTGTGGGGGTGCTGTGTGTGTGCTATATGTGTAAGGGTACTGTGTGTGGGGGGTAGGGGTACTGCTGGGAGGGTAGGGGTACTGTGTGAGGGGGTAGGGGTACTGTGTGTGGGGGGTAGGGGTACTGTGTGAGGGGGTAGGGGTACTGTGTGTGGGGTAGAGAATTACTGTGGTAGTGGGGGTAGGGGTACTGCTGGGTGGGTTAGGGGTACTGTGTGTGGGGTACTGTGTGTGGGCGGTAGGGGTACTGTGTGTGGGCGGTAGGGGTACTGTGTGTGGGCGGTAGGGGTACTGTGTGTGGGCGGTAGGGGTACTGTGTGGGGGGGTTAGGGGTACTGCTGGGGGTAGGGGTTACTCTGGGGGGGTAAGGGTGCTGTGTCAGTATACCCCCCTCCCTCCTTCTTACCTTTAATGGGTGGGGGACAGCCATCCCTGGTGGTCCGGTGGTGGTAAGCACTGCAGGGGGAGGGATCTGTGATGCAGCTCCCCTGTCCTCCCACGCAATGCTGTGTGGAGCGTTGCCATGGTAACGCACGGCAACGCTCCACACAGCATCGCGCAGGAGGACAGGGGAGCTGCATCACAGATCCCTACCCCTGCCTCCCGACACGGAAGCAGAGTAGGCACCTGCCGTTTCGGGCAGGCTGGTGCCTACTCTGCATTGATGGCGAACCTGTGGCCGCGTACCCACAGAAAGGGCCCGGCGTGCCATAGGTTCGCCATCACTGTCCTAGGCAGTTCCAAGGCAATTGTCGAGGGAGGAGAGGGTATATTGCTATTTCGATTAGACACAGGGTTATACACTAAACTAAGATTTTTCGATAATTCAAAGACAATTCATAGTGAATT